ATTTACCTCCCCAATGTAAGGCCGGTAGATTCAAAAATCATGTTGGACAATAAACCTATTAATTTTGTGGATGATACTGTATTTCTAGGTATCACATTAGATTCCAAGTTGCAATGGGGTGCCCATATTACTAAATTAGCGAGTCGGATTAGTTCTGCCGCTTATGCGGTAAGAAGAATTAGACAATTAACAGACGTGGCAACGGCTAAACTCCCAGTACTTTAGCTATTTCCATAGCATTATGTCGTATGGTATTTTGTTATGGGGCAAAGCAGCTGATATAAATACAATATTTATTTTACAAAAGAGGGCCATTCGCTCCATTTATAGCATGGGTTCCAGGGAGTCTTTGCGAGAGTGCTTTAAGGAATCAAATATCCTCACCGTTGCTTCTCAATATATTTATGAAAACATCATGTATGCCAGGAAGAATATAGACAGTTTCAAAAGAGTTAGTGATTGCACTAATAAAAGCTTACGTAACAATAACAAACTGATTTTACCTAAATGTCGTTTGGCTAAAGTTAGTAATTCGTTTTATGGCAATTGCGTAAGGTTTTAATAAAATACCAGAGTCTGTTATAAATCTGCCAGAAAAAAGATTTAAATGTCAAATAAAACACTTCCTTTGCAAAAAAGCTTACTATAAAATTGAAGAATTCGTTAACGATAATAATGTTTATTGTAGAAAAATTTTAAATACATAGCACTGACAATATTATCTGATTACACTAATAATGAGTGCGTAGCGATTTCTATGTTGATTGTCGCATGCCTCTTACTTGTTACACTGTAATTATTTATATAAAAAAAACATCTATCAAAAAGAAACACACAAGTTTCTTGCTCATTCTTCTTGTGATGAATCTGCATTCCGAATGAGTGGTAGAATCAAAATATGACTATTCAAAAGTGCTTGTAATGAGTTTATTTGAATAAAGATTATTTCTATTTCTATTTCTATTTCTATTTCTATTTATTCAGTGCATAAAAAATATTTAGAAAAATGGAAAATTTATTAGTGCTTCAAGAAAATAATTATTCTATCTTACAAAAAACTATATCTAATTTTAAGAAAACACCGAAGCCAAAATTAAATAAAAGTTACTTGAAAGTGAGATTAGAAAGTTTAGAGAAACATTGGGATATCTTTGATGAGACACATAGAAATATAGTAAAGACATCTACATTAGAACAAGAAAGAAGCATGAATATTTTGAAAAGGATTTATTTTCGAAATGCGAAGAAGAGTATTTGTTTTGCAAAGCAGATTCAAAATTCAAATTCAAAATTCAAAATATCTTTATTCATGTAGGTCTATTACAGACTCTTATGATATGTCAAATCTACCGTCAGTTCGGAATGATATCGAGATGAGAAGAACTGACAAGAAACTCAGCTCGTATTTTTTTCAAATAATAGAGGAACATGTTTATGATAAATACAGTTATTAAAATTCAAATTTGGATAGAGTGACCACCAGCATATGCTATCGCAAAGAACAAAAAATTTAATCAGTGTTCACAACCTGAACAGACCAGTCCCCACAAGCAGCACCCGTTCACGAGTATGACGTATGAGCCAGCCATCATTGTACTCAACCATATTTGAGGGAGCACATCGACCCGGCCCAACACGCCGCCACAAGTTTGAACTTTATAGCGAGCATGACTGTTTCAGGTTACTCCACTACGTCAATTATATTATTTACAGCATAGGCTGTACCGATCACAGTTTTCACCCATTACAATATTAAATTTACATTATTTAATTTACAATATGTCATTACAAAATTATAAAATAAGATATCACAGAGATGTTAGAAAGTTTTGAGTCATCAAATATAGTCCAGGAGCCATGTACAAAATATGTAAATCAAGACGTAAAATTACCCAAAATAAATATACCCCTATACCAAGGCAATTATAGCGAGTGGATAACATTCAAAGATTTGTACACATCATTAATTCATAACAATAAAAATTTGAGTAAAATACAAAAGATGCATTACCTGAAGTCAGTTTAACTGGCGAAGCTGAACAACTTTGAAACACACAAATTACCGAAAATAATTATGACATCGCCTGGAGTACATTATCTAATAGATATAATAATAAAAGAATAATAGTAAATTCAATTTTGACTAGACTTTTGGGACAGAGACGAATATTTACAGCTTCATCAAAGAACATGAAAGATTTATTAGATACAACAAATGAATGTTTAAATAATTTAAAGAATAACAACATTAATATTGAGAATTGGGATCCATTAATAATACATATAATTAGTAATAAATTAGACTCGGAGTCTCAAAAAACATGGGAAGAAGAATTGCAAACAATACCTGTTGAAGAATTACCTACGTTAGAAAAATTTAAGAAATATTTAGAAGGAAGATTTAGAGTAACAGAAATGATTCAAACATCTTATATGAAAGAGAGAACTCAAATTAAACCAAAATCGTTTGCTACAATAACTAGTAATGCTGTAAAAAGAAATACAGAGTATAGAAGTAGAAATATAGAATGTGGAAAGTGTAAAGAGAATCACGACATATTTTCATGCAAAGAGTTTATTAAGCTAGATCCAGTTATGAGAACAGAGCACATTAAAAAGGAGAGATTATGCTTTAATTGTTTGCGTCCTGGTCATAGTGTTAAATTTTGTAGATATAGAATGAGATGCGATATCTGTAATAGAAAGCACCACACGTTGATACATATAACTAAACCAAATTTAGAGACTATTAATAATGAGACTGAAGAGATTAGAACACCAGATAATCAAACAATGAGTCAACACAATATTCTTTCACATGTGTCAATACGAGGCCGTGTGTCATTACTTGCTACTGCTTTGGTGAATTTAGAAACGAGCAGAGGGCCACAGATTGTACGAGCTTTTATAGACCCTTGCTCAGAAGAATCATTTATAAGTGAAGCAGTTGTAAAGAGATTACAATTGAAATGTAAAGATGTAGAAGGTCAGGTATCAGCAGTTGGACAGATGTCTACCCCGTTCAAGCACGCGGCGGAGATTGAGTTGTCCTCTAGAATGAATAAAAATTATAAATTAAAGTGTACTGCTTATGTAATTAAGCATGTTACAGATATCATGCCCGCTACAAGAATAAATTATGAGCATTGGACACATTTCAGTGGCATCGAGTTAGCAGATCCAACTTACCATACACCTGGAAATGTAGACCTTTTATTGGGTGTTCATGTCTACACAGATATTTTGATGAGTGGAGTTTTAAAGAGAAAGCAAGGAGAACCAATCGCCCAACAAACTTACTTAGGGTGGATAATATCTGGCGGCGAAGCTGTTGAGAGATTACCAAATAAGGGCCAAATTATTAGTATGCATTTGAGTGTAACGTTAGATAATATGCTACAGAGATTTTGGGAATGTGAGTCACTAGAGTCTGAGAATAAAAATACACTTACCTCCCAAGAAGCTAGAGCAGAAGAAATATATGAGAAAACAGTCATGAGAGATGAACAAGGACGATATGTAGTCAGCTTACCATTTGTGAGAGACAATCCAATCTTACCTGAAAATTCTAGAGAAATAGCAATGAGAAGATTAAGAGGTTTAGAGAGAAGATTGGCTGGAAATGAAAACTTAAAACGAGAGTATGATAATGTGTTAAAAGAGTATATAACATTAAACCATATGGAATTAGTAAAAGATGAGAGAGAGAAAGATACAGTCTACTTACCGCATCACACAGTTTTCAGAGATGATAAAACAACATCGAAAGTGCGTGTCGTATTCGATGCTTCGTGTCGAGGTACAAACGGAGTATCACTTAACGATGGGCTTTTGATTGGACCTAATTTACAAGAAGAGTTAAGAGATATTATTCTAAGATGGAGAACACATAAAATAGTTTTTGTGGCAGATATTATTAAAATGTATCGCCAGATAAAAATACAAGAGAGAGACACAAAATATCAGAGAATATTATATAGATTTAATCAAAATAATGAAATACAAACCTATAAATTACTGACAGTTACCTTTGGCATGGCTTCAGCACCTTACCTTGCAATAAAAACCATGAGACAGCTTGCTAAAGATGAAAATACACAGTATCCTGTTGCCTCGAAAATTGTGTATTCAGACTTTTATATGGACGATGTATTAACTGGTTTTGATAATGTGACGATGCGATAAATGCACAAAAAGAGTTAGCAGAAATGTTATTGAAAGGAAAATTTGAATTACAAAAAATATCTTCAAATAGTCAAGAATTTATGAATTCAATAGATCCTGAGAAAAGAGTGAATAGTATTGTATTAGATATAAATCATAAAGAGACTGTGAAGACTTTGGGTATTATGTGGGAGACAAATGAGGACAGTTTAAAAATAGCACCTACTTATATGAAAAGCGAAAATACTAATTTACTTACTAAGAGAAATATATTGCGCAAGACAGCTTCTTTATTCGATCCTATGGGTTGGTTATCACCTGCCGTAATTAAAGCAAAGATATTTATGCAAAAGCTCTGGCTAAATCAAGTAGATTGGGATGAAGAACTGTCGAATGATCTGAAAGAAGAATGGAATAAATATAAAAATGATGTACCTGTACTGTCCGAAATCAAGATTCCTAGATGGAATGGAAGTACTATTGATGTGGAAGTGGAGTTACATGGATTTGCAGACGCCTCGCAATCAGCATATGCAGCCGTAGTTTATACTAGAGTATTGAGTAATAATAAAAATCCCTGCCAAACAACGTTGATTATGGCAAGAACTAAAGTTGCGCCTGTAAAACAAATATCTTTACCGCGCTTGGAACTATGTGCAGCAGCATTGTTAAGTAAATTACTTAAACATGTTATGAGAATACTTTCCATTGATACCAGTAAAACATTTGCTTGGTCTGACTCCAAAGTAACATTGGCCTGGATAAAAGGCGACCCAAATAAATGGACACCATTTGTTAAAAATAGAGTTATAGAAATTAGAAACAATTTGAATATTCAGTGGTTGTACATTAATACAAAAGAGAACCCCGCTGATCCAGCATCACGAGGATTATTACCCAGTGTACTAAAAGAGAGTCATTTATGGTGGCAAGGTCCAGAATTTCTGCAAATGTCTAATTTTATGTTACCAAAAGATATAATTCCTGAAACAGAGTTGGAAAAAAGATTTCAGATTAAATGTAATACGACAGTTATAAAAACTAAAGATGATGAATTTAAACTTACCTTATTGAATAGATTTTCGTCACTGAAGAAACTATTGAACGTTTTTGCCTTTTGTAGAAGATGGATGAAAAATGTAAAAAGAGAAAATATTAAACATAAAAGCATAGATTGTGAAGAAAGAGATAAGGCACTTACCGTTTGTGTTAAAATAGCTCAGCAAATAGACTTTACAGATGAAATAGAAACCCTGAAAAAGAAGAAAATTATTAAAAGATGTAGTCGATTATTACCATTATGTCCTTACCTTGATGAGAATGATGTTCTGAGAGTTGGTGGCCGTTTAAAGCATGCAGAGCTGAAATATGAAAGAAAACATCCTGTCATACTTACCAGAGATAATCCACTTATACCACTTTTGTTGGATGATGCACACAAAGAGACGCTGCATGGAGGTCCTCGATTAATGACTTCATACCTGCAAAATAATTATTGGATTATAAATGGCGGTCAAAGAATAAAGAGATTTTATAGACAGTGCAAAAAATGTGCTATATATAATGCTACTACTAGTAATCAATTAATGGGAAACTTACCTGACGTTAGAGTGAATCCATCTCGCCCATTTTCAATAAGTGGAGTCGATTATGCTGGTCCTATACTATGTCGAATGAGCAAAGGACGAGGAGCTAAAGCATATAAATCATATATATGCCTATTTATTTGCATGGCAACAAAAGCCATACACCTTGAGTTAGTCAGTGACATGACAACAGAAGCATTTATTTCGTCATTTAAAAGATTCGTTACACGAAGAGGTCGATGTTATGAGCTGTGGAGTGATCACGGAACTACATTTATATCAGCAGAGAAAACCCTATTTGAGATGTGGAAACAGGGTAGAAACGAACTTCCTGAAGAATTGAGAATTTTGTTGGATGATAGAGGCACTGTTTGGAAATATATACCACCTGGCGCTCCTAACTTTGGAGGCTTATGGGAAGCCGGGGTGAAATCTGTGAAGTATCACCTTAAGCGTATACTAGGAGATACTACGCTTACTTTTGAGGAGTTATACACAGTCTTGACTCAAGTAGAGGCTTGTCTTAATTCGCGTCCACTAACAGCACTTAATGATGATTACGAGTATCTGACACCCGGACATTTCCTTGTTGGAGAGCCTACTATAACTTTACCAGACAGAAACTATGAAAAGGTAAATGTATCCAATTTAACGAGATGGCAATTGACGCAGAAAATGGTGCGTGATTTTTGGTCAAGATGGCAAACTGAATATTTGTCTCGATTACAGCAACGTCCGAAATGGATGAGAGTTCAAAAAGATTTCGAGATTGGAGATATGGTCTTAATAAAAGACTCAAGAGCGTCTCCATCCAGTTGGCGCCTTGGTCGAATACAAAAGAAGTATCCGAGTTCCGATGGCCTAACTAGAGTTTACGATGTTCGTACAGCCACAGGTGTTATGCAGCGTTCGGTGTCTAAACTTTGTAGACTTCCTGATTTCAACTGAGAATGATACGTACAAGGATATGGGCATATCCTTGGCGGCGGAGAATGTTGAAGTTGATTAAAAAAAAAAACAAATATATTACAATCTAAAAATGTAATGAGTCTGTGGTCTGTATTCAGTAGTATTAGAGAGTTGTTAAAATTAGTGGAATAAAAATTGTGTGTTTGAATTTTGAAGGTTGTTTTAGTGAAATAATTCCTTCAGCTATAGTAAACGCAAATAGTCTATGCCCATACAGTACAGTTCAGGAGAAATAAAACAAAGAAAATCATTTTGAAATTATGTGGATTCCATTGTAGTTATTTTCGATTTGATTTTGTGTTCTATTTCAGGGTGCCGACATTCAGTTCCTGGGCTCCGAGGTGGTCATAGACCTCCGCCACAACAACATCACCACCGTGGAGGTGATGGACATGCCCTCCTATCTCGAGGCCACCACCACCTCCGTCACCGAGTCCAAAGTGCTGCTCGACGACAACCCGTTCAATTGCGACTGCAACATGTACTCCTTCATCAGACGTCTGCGAGGTCTCTCCGCAGCGGTCACGGCGGAACCTACGTTCGTACCTGACGACGCTCGCTGCGCCGCCCCCCCCGCCCTCCAGGGCCGTCTCGTGGCTGCGCTGCGGCCCGACGCGCTGACTTGCGAGCTGCCGTCGGACCACTGCCCCCACGACTGCTCCTGCGACTTGCGACCGGCCGCGAGCTCGCTGGAGGTGAGCTGCCTCGCGCTGCCCGAGCTGCCGGACCCCGCCTCGTACGGGATGGCGAGCACGCGGCTGCGGCTGCTGCGCCCGCCGGCCGACCTGTCCGCCCTGTCCGCCCTGCCGCCCCACGTCACCGCCCTGAACCTCAGCGGCGCCGGCCTGACGCGCGCGCCCCCGGTGCCCGCGACCGTGACGGAGCTGGACCTCTCCCCGCAACCTGCTCGCGAGCGTGCCGCCGGACCTGCTGCGGGCCGACACCACGCTGCGGCTGGCCGACAACCCGCTCGGCTGCGACTGCGAGCACGCGGCCGAGCTGGCCGCGCTGCAGGCGGCGGCGGCGAGCGTGGCGGACGCGGCGCGCGTGCGGTGCGGCGGCGGCGGGGAGTCCCCGTGGGCGGCGGACGCGCGGCGCGCGTGCGCGGTTCGGCGGCCGGCGGCGCTGGGTGGAGCCCTGGCGGCGCTGGGCGCGGCGCTGGCGCTGGCCGCCGCCGCCGCCTGCCGGTACGCGGACCGGCTCAAGGTGCTCGCGTACTCGCGCGGCTGGCTGCGCTGGATGCTGCGCGAGGAGGACGCCGACCGCGACAAGGAGTACGACGCGTTCGTCTCCTTCTCCCACAAGGACGCGCGGTTCGTGGCCGAGCGCCTGGTGCCCGCGCTCGAGGGCGTCAACGACAACCAGACCGAGAACGTGACGGTCACACCGCCCTGCTTGTGATCGTAACTTGAACTCTATGCGGATGCTATTAGATGCCGATTCCCGTGTCACTCGATTTTACTCACGACTTCTCGAGGTGAGCGTGGAGTAGACGCGGAGGCTCGGGTAGTACAAATGTTAAAGCAATGTAGACTTTATTTATACGTTTTAAGTCATATATTAGAACGAGTCAGTGGATGTTGTAGCTGTGTTTAGGTTTCATTGTTATGTTATGCTTTAAATACATATCGATATAACTTTGTATGAGCCAAGACTTTACTATATTTAATGTTTTTTTTTTTTTTTTAAACCTTATGTCTTTGAGATAGGGTACATTTTTTTATTTTTACTTGCACACTTGAGCCATAGTAATAATTTGTTTTTTTTTTTTTTTGCCTATATAAATTTACGAATGTTAAATGTACCTATACTATATACATGCTATTTATATATGCACATGTTGATATATATACATATATAATTGTTGTTGGTGTCCTGAGTGACTGTTAAGGAAATATATAGTTCCTTAACAATATACAATATAAAATGAAACTTTTTTTTTTTGTACAATTATAATTACATTTATATGCATTTCATAAGTAAATAATTTTTTTTATTTTTTTATTTACATGTTGTACAGATGGACGCCAATGTAACTATGTTATATATGAATAGGAATTGACTTGTAAGGTACGGATATTGATATTTTAAACTATGTAACTATGTACTCGTATGTGTCACAATCAAAAGAATCTCGTGTGCACCACATGTTTATTAATTGTGTGTTTGTATGATTCATCGTAGTGATCATTACTTTTATTACTTTCAACAGCGCCATCTAGTGGCACCGAGTAAAGCTAGTTCAGTGTGGTGACAGTAGTTCAGCTTGATTGATATGTTTATTCATGTAGGTCTCTTACAGACTCTTATGATGTGTCAAGTAAAATATACCGTCAGTTCGGAATGTTTTTTTTTTTTTTTTTTTTTTTTCTCTTTTTAAGTATGGTATAGTAGATGGCGCTGTTGAGTTGTCCTGAAGATATTATTATTGCATAATACCGGTTATACATGTACTGTGGGTGCAGC